CAGGTTGAAAATAGCTCTTTTCTGTCATAAATGAATGTAAAAAAAGAGGGGTTGGTGGTAGTATAGGTTCAGTATCAAAACCACCAGTTGCTTAAGGAATTAACCTTAATACCTTAGTCTGAATCTTACAAGCATCCTTTCAACAAAAATCATTAGTTAGTTTTTATTTGTATCTTTATTGTAAAATTATGATCATTTTTCTGCAATAGGTCATTGTTGGATGAAAATTTGGCAAAACAACTGTCCGGTGAGACCTTATACACATACAATCTGAATCAAGAAATTTATTAGAGACAACAGCAAAATATGAAATAAATCTGAGAGAAGGGATTATGTTGTATGCCACCATACATAGCAAATATGATGCAGTGGGAATCAAAAATATGAACAGCATAGAACCAGATACAGAGGAACTGTCAAAAGCAATGCATGCCTAACCCCTCCACCCCACCCCAGTCCCCATCCCAATTTTTTTGGATATTTTAAGTTTCTGACTTTGCACAATGGAGAATGAATTTCACTAGAAATGATAGACATATGATGTATTGAAGTGCTCTTCCATGATGGCACATTATATGCCAGCCAATTAAGGTCTATACAGTTCCTGCTACCAATGAATGCAAAATGACCTCAATCTACCCAAGTATTATGCTTTAACAGATCTGGATCTATTCTGTACAATGACCGATGTGCATTACAAAAACTTTATTTTTTGAAATTAAAATTTTTATAACATCCATTTTCACTCAGCATTAAATTGACAAATAAACATCTGGATTAACATTACAAAACTGTACTACACAAAAGACATGTATATCACACTGAACCCAAAGGACACCAACAATTGCAACAAGTGATATTATAATAATATGTTCTATGAAGATAGTGAAAACTACAGTAAAACCTACCATAAGAGACATACATGTATGATTTGATAGACATAAAACAATAACACACACACACACATATATATATATGTGTGTGTGTGTGTGTGTTTGTTTGTATGTTACATGTACTTTAATTCAGTGAAAATAAACTCAATACGAAAAGATTGTCTAAGTAAAGCCAGTTTTACTGTAATTACACTGGATAGAGGGAGATAATTACCAATTTATATTTTGAGTTTGGTTTTTTTTACAAAATTACTGAATGTCATGAAAATAGTTATAAATCATTTGATCCTTTTACGTTTGTAATGCTTTTTAATAAAAAGGCAATTTTTTTTCATATATTGTCTTAAACAAATTATCTGAATGCATTTCAGTGTGAGGAATTTTATACAGATTTTGAAGACACTAAAAATAAATAAAAACATGAACTACTGCTTTGCTGGATGATCATAAAGTAAATTAAATAATTTTGTTTCCTGGTTCAGTTGTCAAAAAATATAACTGAAAGCTCATTAGTGGTCAATTTGGACCAATTTTGAGATAGCCTATAACATAATTATCTCCCTTGGAATTAGCTCCATTCAGTGACATGCAATATATACATAACCAGGTACTCCACAATAACAAATGACATAAAAACCTACTGAATCCCATGACATGTACATTCCCTGTCAAATAAGAAAAAAAACAACCATGCAATTATATCATGTCTTTCAAACATTCCTGCAAAATAAGAAATGACATATATACTATATATGAAGAAATTGTGAAATTTTACATTTTTGTTAATGCCTAAGTTTGTAAAATTTATATGGTTCATTTGATGACTTAAAATTTTTCAATTTATTGTGCAGCATGAGGTGTTTAGTTATATCCCCACATTTTAGAAGAGAATAATGTGATACCCTTCAACTGTCAATCAATTACCACACTTTCTCCAAAAATGCCATGTAGAATTTCATAAAACCTGAAGTTTTGTTCCCCTAAGATCCTGGTGAGGGGCATCAAAGGTATGTATAAAAAACAATTTAATTACACACTGAAAGTTTCAAATATTTTCTGATCCAACTTTACAGGCAAATGAAGAACAAACATAACTGTGGCCGATTTTGAAGTATGACCCCAAATCACTGAGCGATGGTGATGCTGAGTAGAAACGATTAAAGCTATAGATGATAGCAGGTTACTTTTAATGTCTGTTCAACTCATTGGTAACACCATGCACAGGAAACATCAACTAAGTGCCTACCCCCAACGAAAACAAAGGCAGCTGAGACAGACAGTGGGGGTAGAAAGAGTAGAATATACAATAAAGAGAGTAAGGAAGAAATGCACTGAAATGCCATTGCTAATGGGATTTGTGATTATTTTGCAAAATCCTTGAGAATTATACCAAAACAATTTCCACATATATAGTATCCCATGCACTATAATGGGACCATGGCATAATATTCTTAGTTTATCCAATCTAACAATAAAATACCAGGGTATTCTACAAGAAAATATAACCTAAAAATAGCAAATAATCATGCTAATATCATTTTTATACTATATAATAAGATGAATGGCAGCTATTATAACTACTTATATAATGGGAACATCAAAAATATGACAAACATAAATGCAAGCAGAAACAATTTCATGCTAAATATATATTTAATAACCAATAAAAAAAAATAGGCAGAATCTTGAATCAATGCTCATTTTATATGAAAATTTAATAAACAATTGATATAATTTCTATATTTAGCAATCTTTGTGGCATAACATTACAAATATTAAAGGAGTTTATTAAATTTCATACAAAATGGGAATAAACATAAGATTATAATCTGTCATAGGCTAAATACCTTGAGGCATTCAAAACATACCTCATTTGGCTAAATACCTCAAGGAATTCAAGATATACTTTATATGGCTAAATACCTTGAGGTATTCAAGATATACTTCATATGGCTAAATACCTTGAGGTATTCAAGATATATTTCATATGGCTAAATACCTTGAGGTATTCAAGATATACTTCATATAGCTAAATACCTTGAGGAATTCAAGATATATTTCATATGGCTAAATACCTTGAGGTATTCAAGATATACTTCATATAGCTAAATACTTTGAGGTATTCAAGATATATTTCATATGGCTAAATACCTTGAGGTATTCAAGATATACTTCATATGGCTAAATACTTTGAGATATTCAAGATATATTTCATATGGCTAAATACCTTGAGGTATTCAAGATATATTTCATATGGCTAAATACTTTGAGGTATTCAAAATATACTTCATATGGCTAAACACCTTGAGGTATTCAAAATAAACCTAATAAGCTAAACACAACGAGGTATTCAAAATATACCTAAAAAGCTAAACATATTGAGGTATTCAAAATATACTTCATATTGCTAAATACCTTGAGGTATTCAAAATATACTTCATATGGCTAAATACCTTGAGGTATTCAAGATATATTTCATATTGATAAATACCTTGAGGTATTCAAGATATATTTCATATGGCTAAATACTTTGAGGTATTCAAAATATACTTCATATGGCTAAATTTCTTCAGGTTATGTTCAAATGTACTTCTTTAAAGACATCTTATTTAAAATGTGTCACCTGTTGCATGTTTGTTACTCGATGCATGTGTAATGTGCAAGTCATAGTCTGCAAGACTTGAGGCTAAAAACAGCCACCACTGGCTTTCTTGTAGTATCTGTGGTTGATCAAATTCTCTTGGAGCTCCTCTAATGATCAGCAGACACCACTCTAGTTCTTTCCCATTGATGCCAAATTTTAAGGTCAAAGGTTAATAGAATGCAAAATACAGCTATTTCAACGTTTGAAAAAAATATTTGTAGATCATTCTGCACATAAGTGAATTGATCATGGGAGACTTTATCATGGCATGAGATGATTTGAATGAGGCTAACTGACAAATGCATAGCAGGCAAAAATGGCAAAGTAAGGAAAAATCACAGTAAATTATAAAATCAGATGAAGGTTGTAATATTGTTGTTCAGTACTTTCTATATATTTCTTCAGGCTGCTAAATTGCAGTCCAAATTTTCAAGGTTCTAATTTGTAAATAATAGGAAGCAAGGTTTTACAACACTTCAGCACAAAAGTGACTATGCAGAGCAAACATTTGCAAATAGCATCAAATGTTTTTTTTTACTGATAATGTAATGGAGGGGGGGATTAATTTTGATGATGTAATACTTACCTGTCAGTACTGCTCATACTCTTCGGGATGGAAAATACCCTGGCTGTATGATAAGAATTCATCCTCTCATTAAGATTCCAGAAAGAAAGAAAAGAGATCATCCAGCACATACCTTGCTTATGTGCATTGTCCTTCATTCATTTTGAGATGCAGCCAAAACAATGGGACATCAGTGTGGAGTCAGAGTACAGAATCATGGAAAAATAACAGAAGTATTAAATCCAGTCTTCTCCATATCCCACCAAAACTACATTGTAATATCGGTAATATACACGCGTTATTATACTGCACAGCTGGATTAGTCAGTTTGGTGAGAGGTCCAGTGATACCACAGCTGGCAAATAAAAAATAAACACAAGGTATACGCACCCTCATTGAAAAGAGTAGATGCTGGATAACAATCAGTCTCAAGGAAAATGTATCTTCACTTTGGTGAGCTATGGAGAGAAATTAACAGGAGAATGTGGTTTTGAAAGTTCCAAAGTGCAGCTTGCATCACATCCTCCAGAGATGAATGACTTAGATGGTCCAATGAGGTAGCAATGATTTGATCCTCTTGGGTTTTATTTTCATGAATACAATGCCTATCAGTAAACTCTCTTGATAGTTCTTACAATCCACCTTGACAACAGTGTGTGAGTGTGATTTGGATTTTTTAAATGTAGCTTTAAAAATTATCAGTTATATTGTTAAGATGTCTACAGTGTGGCATTTTGTAGTGATGTCTAGCACTGGGGCATCATGCTGCAGACATTTAGCATGATATCCCACCCAGTCACATTATCCTGACACCAGGTCAACCATTCCTAACACTAATCTCTTAATGCTGATCACTAAGCAAGGCAGCTGTTAGTACCATTTGCACAAGTCTTTGGTATGACTCTGCCAGGGTTTGATCCCATGATCTCCTGCTTCTGAGGCAGAAACTCTAACCATTAGGCCACCAGAGCATTCCAACCTTGAAACAGTGGAAGCTGACACATTAGCTGAACCTTTTATGTGCATAAAAAGCTACATTGTAATCTTTCTTTTCCCTTTAGAGGCTGCAAAAAAAACCGGAAAACCTTAATTTGGCATAAAAGTCTATCTTGATCAACCTCTGCTCTGCACAGATACAACCAGGAATGGAGATCTCAAAAACAGGAGTGAAGCCAATAATGCAAACTGATATTTTGCTATTAAAATTAAAAAATCATGGGAGATAATCCATGGTTGGCAAAGGAGATAATCCAACTCATCATTTCCATTGAACCTTACATAGTCTAGTCTTGCTCAAGAGACTGGGCATGAACATGAAGCTTGCTCCTTCATCTTGTGTACAAGAAAATAGTCTTAAGGGTAAGGTCTTCCAAAAAGGGTTAACTCAAATGTTAAAGGTGAGGGTTATTAAGAGACCACAACAAAAACAAAAAAGAATCCATTTAAGCATTAGTGAGCAAGACACTGGTCTCTTCAGCTCAAAATATCTGATAAGAGTCCAGCCTAATGTCCAAGCTATTAACAAATGTAAGCATTTTTACAGAGCTGCCCTATGGAAACTAATGAAGTACCAGTTCAGTGAAAAATTACTATGATACATACCACTGCAAAATATACAGGAGTGACTGGCTATACCATGCACCCTTACTAATTAATAATGTATATGGGTATTTGAACAAAATACTTACCCTTGCTAGAAATGATCCACAACAAAATTAGTATGCTAACACCTCTGTGGGGTAAAATTCAAGGCAGTACAAGTGAGTGAGTGTGTGTATGTTTGTGTGTGTGTGTGTGTGTGTGTGTGAATTTGGTTCCTTTTTTAACATAGCTTTAATAATGTTTCAGTCATATCACTACAATGTCTGCAGTGTGGCAGTTTATAGCATGTCTAGCACTGGGTGTCATGCCACAGACATGTAGCATGATGTCCCACTCAGTCACACAAGGCTGATCAGTCCTAACACTAACCTCCTAATGCTCAGTGCCAAGCAAGACAGCTGCTGGTACCATTTTTGTAAGTCTTTGGTATGACTCCAATGGGGATCTAACTCCTGACCTTTCGCATCTGAGGCAGATGATCTAACCACTAGCCCACTGTACAAGAGAGAGACAGCGAGACAGACAGAGACAGAGAGACACAGAGACAGAGAGACACAGAGACTGAGAGAGCAGGTAAAATTTATACTGTAAAATTGCTGTTAACTCATGAAGCTAAGGCAATTGTCATCAACATAAACAGCCATGAAAATGAATCAAAGACTGTACACATGGGACTGAAAAAGAATCAAGGACTGTACACATGGGACTGAAAAAGAATCAAGGACTGTACATATGGGACTGAAAAAGAATCAAGGACTGTACACATGGGACTGAAAAAGAATCAAGGACTGTACACATGGGACTGAAAAAGAATCAAGGACTGTACACATGGGTAAGGTATTTGCAAGGTGAACCTGGAGTGATCAGAAAAGTACTAGCCACACAACAGCAACAGGAAAGCATTACTCATAAAATAACTGTCAAACTTTGAATGTAAGTAACCATTTCAGAAAACAAGAAATCAAAGTACACAAAGTACTGTAGTGTAAACATTCAACATGTCTGGTGGTAAATAGTGAATGCCCATATACATGTAAAAATGAATTTGTGTCCTCCATCAGGGATAAAAAAAATTAATTCAATAACAACAAAAGAGTTCTTGATTCTTTGGCATCATGATTGCATCATTATTATGATACAAAGGAAATATATCTAGAAATATTTGTTGTATCTAATTTTTAAATAACACTAAAATTAAATTTAGACCAATACATTTGCCTAAATTTAGCTGTTCAACCAAAGATATTTCAGCTGAGGTCCTGGATTTTTTTCAATGAGTGCAGTATATATATAAAAAATGATCCACCATTGCCCTCCCTCCCTTTCTCCCTCCCTTCCTCCATCCATAACTGCCCAGCCTGTTTAAGCCATACTGAGTTTTATATTACAAACACACAAAATAAATTCTAATTATACAAATGGAATAGAGTGTAACAGGTGCTCAATCTTTAAATGCTAACAATGAATGCTTGTACTTCCTCTGGTGATCTTCCTGACAGTCAATGTCAGCCAAGATCAAGTCTTGCTTTTGATTTGACTTGATGGAATGACAACAAATAATAACTTTTTTAAGTGTAATGAAGAGGGTGTACATACCAACATATACCACATGAACTGAATGACGAATGTGGACATACCAACATATACCACATTAACTGCATGATGAATGTGGACATACCAACATTTACCACATTAACTGAATGACAAATGTGGACATACCAACATATACCACATTAACTGCATGATGAATGTGGACATACCAACATTTACCACATTAACTGAATGACAAATGTGGACATACCAACATATACCACATTAACTGAATGACGAATGTGGATATACCAACATTTACCACATTACCTGCTTGACAAATGTGGACATACCAACATATACCACAGTAACTGAATGACAAATGTGGACATACCAACATATACCACATTAACTGCATGATGAATGTGGACATACCAACATTTACCACATTAACTGAATGACAAATGTGGACATACCAACATATACCACATTAACTGAATGACGAATGTGGATATACCAACATTTACCACATTACCTGCTTGACAAATGTGGATATACCAACATATACCACAGTAACTGCTTGACAAATGTGGACATACCAACATATACCACATTAACTGCATGATGAATGTGGACATACCAACATTTACCACATTAACTGCATGACAAATGTGGACATACCAACATATACCACATTGACTGAATGACGAATGTGGATATACCAACATTTACCACATTACCTGCTTGACAAATGTGTACATACCAACATATACCACAGTAACTGCTTGACAAATGTGGACATACCAACATATACCACATTAACTGCATGATGAATGTGGATATACCAACATTTACCACATTAACTGAATGACAAATGTGGACATACCAACATATACCACATTAACTGAATGACAAATGTGGACATACCAACATATACCACATTAACTGCATGATGAATGTGGACATACCAACATTTACCACATTCACAGTAATGTTAAATGGGACTGCCAACATATTGATAATTACTGAAATGACGAATGTGATAACCTAACTTTTTATTTAACAACTTATTACTGTGACAAAATGTGGATTTCATAAATAAGAATATGAACTATAAGATCTTGAAAACTGATCTCCAGTCCAAGAAATAAAATAACGCATAGTATTTGTAAATTCCAGTCTAGCTTTCATTTAACTGATCCATGTTAGACATTCCAATTAAGTTGAACCTCATTAATTAAGGGATGCATAATTATGAGAATACCATTCTTTATCACAGTTAATAAACTGAAGACTAAATTGTGCCATACATAATGTGCCATCAATCAGGCTATGTTGTGAGTTATACATACATTCCAACAAACCGCATGACAATCTGTGGTAGTCTGACCAGACTTGGGTCGTGAGCAGTTAGTTTCAAATTAGAGACATATAATTATTTAACTCTTTCTTAATGCCTATGATAGATAACTTGGTACAAAATAAATTTAATCACATCATCACAACTGATGACAAAAATGGCTACATTTACGAAAAAAAGATTAAAAAATCATATAATTGGGTCATTTAAGACTTTACCACATTACCTGCTTGACAAATGTGGCATATACCAACATTATACACATGTAACTGCTGACATAATGAGGACATACCAACATATACCACATTAACTGCATGATGAATGTGGACATACCAACATTTACCACATTAACTGCATGACAAATGTGGACATACCAACATATACCACATTAACTGAATGACGAATGTGGATATACCAACATTTACCACATTACCTGCTTGACAAAAGTGGACATACCAACATATTTCCACAGTAACTGCTTGACAAATGTGGACATACCCAAAATAATACCACATTAACTGCATGATGAATGTGGACATACCAACATTTACCACATTAACTGAATGACAAATGTGGACATACCAACATATACCACATTAACTGAATGATGAATGTGGACATACCAACATATACCACATTAACTGAATGACGAATGTGGATATACCAACATTTACCACATTACTTGCTTGACAAATGTGGACATACCAACATGTACCACAGTAACTGCTTGACAAATGTGGACATACCAAATTATACCACATTAACTGCATGATGAATGTGGACATACCAACATTTACCACATTAACTGAATGACAAATGTGGACATACCAACATATACCACATTAACTGCATGATGAATGTGGACATACCAACATTTACCACATTAACTGAATGACAAATGTGGACATACCAACATATACCACATTAACTGAATGACGAATGTGGATATACCAACATTTACCACATTACCTGCTTGATGAATGTGGACATACCAACATTTACCATAGTAACTGCTTGACAAATGTGGACATACCAACATATACCACATTAACTGCATGATGAATGTGGACATACCAACATTTACCACATTAACTGAATGACAAATGTGGACATACCAACATATACCACATTAACTGAATGACGAATGTGGATATACCAACATTTACCACATTACCTGCTTGACAAATGTGGACATACCAACATATACCACAGTAACTGCTTGACAAATGTGGACATACCAACATATACCACATTAACTGCATGATGAATGTGGACATACCAACATATACCACATTAACTGCATGATGAATGTGGACATACCAACATTTACCACATTAACTGAATGATGAATGTGGACATACCAACATATACCACATTAACTGCATGATGAATGTGGACATACCAACATTTACCACATTAACTGAATGACAAATGTGGACATACCAACATATACCACATTAACTGAATGACAAATGTGGAT